CAAATTCGGGGGCTGAAATGAGATAAGAGAGTAACGAGTTTTGTCCTTTAGCAAAGATAAGGGTTTAAGGGTGGAATTGGGAGTAAAAGAGAAAACCCACATTAGTACGTTATCCGACCCCCATTTTCTCCCACGGCTGTAGCACATCAAGATTTCCTTTCATTTCGAGCGGAGAAAAAAAGGCCATTTTCACTTCTCTAATGGGTGAGGGAAAGCAAGGAGTGATGGTAGTGGAAATGCCGAATAGCAGTAGCAGCCAGAACCCAATAGCTCAGTTACAGAACAAGTTCAAGGAATTGGAGATTGGGTTCAAGGGCTGGCTAGCTAAGCAGTCACTACCGGTTGAAGCCGCTGTGGTGACTGCAACCAGTGGACTACAGGGTGCTGCTATCGGTGGCTTTATGGGAACGCTTACCCAGGATGTTTCTTCCTCTTTGCCTACTCCTCCCCCGGCTGCCAATCTCAATCCTCAAGCTATGGCCTCTTTTCAACAAGCCCAGGTGTTTGTTTTAGGTTAAATTTTTTGGGTATATTACTCCATCCGTTCTAATTTATGTGACATAGTTTGAATTGGCAGGTAGTTCAATGAGGACTTTTGAAACTTGTAAACTTCTCACTAAGGTTAAAATGAGAAGTGTAAAGTTAATTGTTTCCAAATATAGAAGTGTGTAATTCTTTTTAAAACGGACTGATAAGGGAATAGTGTCACATAAACTGAATGGAGGGAGTATCTATATGTTAACCGTAGTAGGTTTTGTTTCTTGAGTTCAGGAGTTGTTAAATGGGCTTTTATTGTGTTTATACCAAAATTGATAGTATTTACCTGCTTCGTTACTGTTACATATATGCTTTATATAGTTGTTTTACTTATAAGTTCTATCTGAAGTTAACTTATTCTATCATGAGTTAATATAAATGATGGTTAAGCCAGAACATCAGTGGAGGAATTCAAGTTGAAATCTTTAAGACTGACACGAGCTAATTTTTTTTTGATGGTTAAGGAGTGTAATTGGTGTTTTGGTTTCAGGCTCTAGCAGGTGGTCCATTGGTACAGGCCCGTAATTTTGCTGTCATGACAGGTGTTAATGCTGGCATTTCTTGTGTCTTGAAAAGAATTAGAGGCAAGGAGGATGTCCAGTCCAGGTATGCCTATTTTTACTGGATTCCTGTTAAACAAAATTTGCCAGTCAGCATTTATAATCAGGCTTGTTTACTAAAGTAAAGCCTCTAAGTGTTGATCGTTTCGATATTAAGTTGATTTTGCAGGAGAATCCTTAACTTTACTAATTTTTGTTTACACATTTCTATGTCCTCTATAGGTTAGATTTCAGAAGGATGTCCACACACACTACTTTAGTAGTATAACAACGCTTAGGAATTTGGATACTGTCTCTCCTTCCCTAGGAAGAGGACATGCTTTCCCAAGTTGGCTCTCACTTGAGTATTACAAAAAAACCTTACTCCTCTCCCGTTAAAATTCTTGCATCCATTTCGGTTGCACATTTGGTTTTCGTTGTAGACCAGGTAAAGCAAATTAGGTTTCAATTTACACCTTTCATTTGAACCAACAAAGTCTTTTCGCTCTCTCTTCTCTAGCACTTTTACCTTTCTATTGTATTCATTTAAAAACATTTAGCAGTGTCCTGGTTTGCGACCTCATAGAACACAGAAACCCCAATCTGGTTTTCTGTTTTCGATTTTTATCCTTGACCTTTCATTTTTCCTTTTTGATCCTTTTTCTCCTTCCTCCACTCGTCGGCGAATTCTTTGAATGTGCATCTTTTTGTTTATGGTAGTTGTTTGAGATTGATAAATCATTTTTTGCAGTATGGCAGCTGCCTTTGGTTCTGGAGCACTGTTTTCACTAGTTAGTGGCATGGGTGGCCCAAATCCAGTACCCAATGCTTTGACATCTGGCATTTTCTTTGCCCTTGTTCAGGGTGGACTGTTTGAGGTAATATTGATGTAACAAATAGTATACAATGATGCACTCATGTCTCTAAGCAACCCCCCTTCGAGAAAGAGAGAGAGAAGTCTCTATATCACAACTTCTTCATATATCTGTGGAGAAAAGATGAAAGTTTATTTATATTAATGTGACAATATCTGTGTGCTTAATTATAAATAAAACATAATAATAGTATTGGCATGCTATATTATAATAGTATGGCAAAGTTGGTCTGATTTGTTTTTTAACCTTTTACTTTATGACTGGAGTTTGGTTCAATCCAGTACTCTGTATTCTCGTGTCACTAGACTTATATGTCTGATATTATGCCAATCCCTTAGTTTGAATTGTTGTTTTTCCTCCTCAAGTTTTGAGTTTGGTTTCTTTATCAGAATAATAACGCCAATCCTACCAATGAAGTACAGTAGCTGTGACTTGATACAGTTCCTGTTCATTGTCATCCTAATTTGTTTTTGTTTCTAGGTCCCTTCTCAGTTAACAGGTGTACATTAGAACCGAGAACTTAAATATGAGATTTCAGTGTATTTAATGGATGCACTAGATTGGACTTCTAACATGAGCAGTAAGAATGTGGATTTCCTCACTGTTTGAAAATTAAAATATCTAGTTCACCAATATCCTGATCTTTTAAGTTTTCTGTATGTTCTTTCTCTCCCCCTCTCCTCTCTTTTAAAGGTAGACGTTCAGTATTATGGATAAGTTTATAATTGGCAGGTGATACTTCAATAGAAATTTTCGAGTAGTCAAATAAAAGTTCAAGTTAATCTTGGCCCGAAGGCTTTGGTCTAATGATAAGAGCACAACACATGATGTGTGGGTTAGGCATACATCACTGGTTCAAACCCTGCCTCAAACAGAAGGCTGATATTTAAGTGGAGAAGGGTTGAAGGGCAGGCTCATTATCCATCGAGTTTCAAATCGTGCGCCACTGGCCTCGGCAATTTCTCAGATTATCCACAAAAAAATGAGTTAATCTCAATCAAGCTAGATTATAAATCCTCTATTTGTGTCATTAATGGAGCTTCTTACGGCCAGTTAGACATGCATATTCCTCGACTTTATTTTGTCTTTTGAGGTCCATCTGCTACGAAGATAAATTAAGATTTCTTGTATAAAGAGACCTTTAGGACTGTTGGGGTGTGAAATGTAGCAGTCATCATTCCCTGTTTGCACCTAGTTTGTTGGTCTGGAATAGAGTGATAAGCTCGATATCTCTTCGTCCGTAAAATATTGTCTTGTTGGTTCGTGCAGCTAGGACGGAAGTTTTCGCAGCCGCCTGCTGAAGATACACATTATATCAGAACCAGATCAATGCTGTCAAGCCTTGGCCTGCAAAATTATGAAAAGAATTTCAAGAAAGGGTTGTTGACAGACAGCACTTTACCATTGCTCACTGATAGGCAAGATACATTGCATCAAGTAACTGTATTAATCCTATCCATTTCTCATTATTAAACCTCATGCGTTCTCCATTTTGCAGTGCTCTTAGAGATGTGAGGATCCCTCCTGGGCCAAGGCTTCTAATTCTTGATCAGATACAGAGGTGAAATAATGCTTCATGCTAATTAACTTTCTGCTGAACTCTTTTAGTGAATGAAATCATTTAAATAGTCTGTTGGAACTTTTTGCTCTAGGGATCCGGAACTCAGAAAGAGACAAGGATGAACTCACTGCTATTACAGTTGCAAGTTGCAAAAGATTAAATTTTCCTTTGTGGGAATGAGATTTGTATTCAGTATTTTGAGAAATAGTGACAGTTTCATAGTACTATGCTTTATAAAGTTGCAATGAACTAGGCCATTATGGAACTTCTTTGATATATTGCTGCTTCCCAGCATTATATGATGTGCTACAGTTTGCTTAATTTAGTTTCCTAACCCCCCACCCCCTTACTCCCAGCTTTGGAGGCTTATGTTCAAGTGTAGAAGGGTGAAGGGGCAGATTCACTATTCGTCAAGCTTTTGAGCTGGAAACATCAGATTTGTCCATTATTTAAAGAAAAAAAGAAGAAAATTGGAGATAATCTTTTCTGGTGCATGAATAAAACTTTAACTTCTCTTGACAAATTTGCTAGTTAAGATTTCAGCAATTCCTGATTTTATTTTCTTGTTTACTGCTATTCTTTCAAAATATGAATAACAGTCTACTGAGGTGAATATGAGATATCAGCTAAAACTTGCTCAAAAAATTTTCTGAAATTATTCCATAGGTGCAGATAATTTTTGCTATTCCTTATCAAGTGCGTGTGTATTTGTAAGTCAGTCATGCCACCATATGTTGAATTGTCCATTGTGGTACCTGGGAAGTAGGAGATTTGGTCTCCTTATATGATCTCGATCTCTTATCATGGTGTCAAGAAATAAATGCGGAATAATCCTTCCTTTCAAATATTGGGGTTGAGACCTCACAAGAGGGTGGAGAAATCATTCGCATGTATTGGGTCTGCCTTCGAAAAAAAACAACATTGACACAGTAGGCTGCAGAACCACATGTGTAGAAATCTGATGAGGTATACTTATCAAAGCTGTCAAAGGCAGAAGCAGTTTATCGATTAATCTTGCTGACTTTGATATTCTTTATTGTTTGATTTGGCAACAGAAAGAGACTAATTTAAAGTTATTAGGGCAGAAACCGTTATATCAACCTTGCTTACGTTGATCTTCTTTTGGTGTTTGATTTGGCGAAAGAAAGAGAATACAGCTCTCCCTTTGATTTCATTCTCAACGTAAGGAGATGTACTAACGATTATGAAAGTTCATTTCAATACAGATAATTTTTCTTTACGGTCTGTCCATTTCAGCGCACTTTCTTTAACACATTTTAACCCAACACTAAAATTGAAAGATGGCATGATATCGTGTTACTCTCTACCTTTAGTTTCACAACTCACACCACCCCTGGACTAATTAAGAGGTGAAATTACTGATTTGGCACTACAGACCTTTTCGGCACCGGGCATAATGTTTACCATTATCGCGGAATTGAGGAGAAGAGAACAGAAGAATATAGATCAAGAGAAAACAACATGATCTAAATGAACACAAAATATCACCATTACACCCCGGAAAAGAAAGAAGAAAGAAAGGTCAATATACACCAAAGAAGAAGGCAAAAAGAAAAAGGTCAATATACACCACAATTCTGAGTTCCTAATCTTACATTTCGTCATTTACATGGAGCCAAAAACCAACCCCGCAATAAAAACCGGCCGCCAACAATACACAACAGCCATATATCAAACATCAAATGAATTTTTTTAAAAAGGCTATCTATGTCAATCGGAAAAAGAAAAAAAAAAAATTAAAAACACACACCCAGAAAACTGAAAAGGAACAAGCTAAGGCTTATGTGCATAATGTTACAGGCATGGCTCTTCCAATTTCCCCTACAATCATTGGGAATTTGGGACGGTAATGGAAGCTGATTCGAGAAGTTTTTGGGCCAAAGAGAGTTGATCCATCAACTGGACGACACGTGTCCTGTAGGTCCGAGCCTGATCAACAGCCTCGGCCTCAACTTCACCAAGCTGAGAGCAAAGTCGCTCCTCAGCCTCCTCCGCCACCCTCAGCCTTTCCCATGTTTTCTGCAATTCCTGCTTCATTTTCTCTTCCCTCTCAATGCTCTTTTTTAATTCTGTCTCCAACTCCTCGTTTCTTCTTCTGAGCACCTCGCTCTCCGGCACGACGGAGATGTCACGGCGATGGGGCTTTGTTTGGTTAGAAAGCACAGCAATTGTCGAAAACATGTTGAAAGAAATAGTAGTTGAGAAAATGGAGAAAATGGTGGAACTATAAAATTTGCTATTAAAACTGAGGCAATAGAAACAGAAATGCAAAGGTGATTAATTTGTGAGGAATATTGTTGAGTTGCAGGAGTCATATATAGCCCCAAATTGCGTATGTCCGGGTTCAATGTATCTACCACCTTTTTTTTTTTTTTTTAAACTCAGTATTTTGGGTTTCTAATTTTAAACCATTAATTAATTCAGGAGATTATTAGGTCCTGTTACGATCTCATCCATATTATATGTCTTTTAAATATTCGTAATATTAGTATATTACAACATCAGAGTTATGTCCACGCTCAATGTATCTAGCACCGTCAAGCATTTTTGGTTTGTACACAATTTTTTGGGTTTCTAATTTAAAACTATCAATTAATCCAGGGGCTTATTACGTAAGACAATACTAAGGCTCTACCCTTGACTTAAATTTGTGGACTACGTTATTTTATGTCAGTTTTAAATTGCGATGTTGAGGGTCGGCCGTGTCCTTTCCAGATTTATTTTCCCCATTGCCTCCAATTTATTTTTTTATTTATATTCAGTGATGAAGAAGAACTAACAAAAGAAGAACACAGAGAAATGGGAATTTCTAGGTATTTGACTTCCGTTTTATATAAAATCCACCTCTTTATGTTGCCATTGTCATAGTCGGCATTTTAGATGTCCTTTGGACGACTTCTTGCTAATATTTTGCAAAGGAATTGACTTGGCACTAAATTGAAGAAAATTTAGACAGTGTAATTAGGGTGTTTTTGTTTCCTGAAAATAAAAAATAAAATAACAGAACGAAATTCTGGAACTCTAGCTCGCAATTCTTGCCCTGTCTCTTGGCTTTCTCAAACCAAGAAGTACCCCTTCTTGCTCTAAAAAAAAAATAAAAAGCTAAGGTCTGTTGGCTTTGTTAAGTTTAGAATTTTAACAATGTTCAATAATCTAAAAGAATCCTTGACTAATGACATCTCCTTGTGTGCAGATTTGGTAAGCAATGATGTTAGTAAAAGGAAAACAGATCCTATTCAACGGCTATGTATTTTGAACTTTGTTTTACATGGAAAATGAATCAATCAATCAAAGAACAAAGAAGGAAAGTCACTTAGTCAGCCTTGTCAAAGATTCCCAAGCGTGCAAGAATGGGAAAAGATCCAATCAAGGATAGAGATCAAATCCAGAAAAATCTCCAGAAGCTCAAATCAAGGAGGAATGGAGGAAGCAATTCGTCAAGATTGAGAATGAATCTAGCAACCATTTTAAGCTAGATTCATGAGGCTACCCTTGGGTCTTTCTCTTAGATGTATATGCCTCACAAGAAAATGACTCCTAAAATTGCTGCCATACAATCCCAGAAGACAAGGAGACAGGAGACTCATCAAGCTATAAAGGAAGAAGCAGAAGAACATCCACAAACACGCAACTACATCATATGTTTCTAAACCTTTCTAATTCTTAGTACAAATATTGTATTCTTGAGTCTACAAGTGTCACAAAAGATATGAAGAGTTAGAACACAAAACGAGAGTTGTGTCAACATTGAAAAGAATCACTGTTGCTGTATATCGTTGGTAGTGAACGTACTAAAACCATCATTGCTGTAAACTTTCATCAAAGATCTAAGAGAACCCTTGTGACCCAAGGGAACTGGACGTAGGTACCATGCCGGTACTGAACTAGTATAAAAACTGTTGTGTCTTCTTTACCTTCCCGTTCCCTTAGTTTATCTCTATTGAAATCAATCACTGCGCAAGGTCTAAGTCGACTAAACTCATACTTAGTCAACTAAGATTTTTAAATCGATTACAATTTACCCCCTCTTGTACTTTCAATTAGTATCAGAGAAGGACTCACGAATATTGCTTAACAGCAAGTGAGAAAAAGATCATGGCATCCAATACAGTCGTTAGAGCACTATTTCAAAAAGGAACATCTCAAGTACGACCCCCGTACTTCAATGGTCAGCACTTCTCTCACTCGAAAGTGTGCATGGAGAGCTACATTATGTCATATGACATTATAGTTTGGCGTGTGATAAAAAAGGAAAATCTTCCAATTTTGCCAAAGAAGGATGCAAACGGTCAAATCATAGTATCATCTGATCCTCTTGATTTAGATGGTTATACTGAACAACAATCTGCCGTTATTCAAGTAAAGGCCAAAGCAAAAAATCTGATGTACAATGCTATCAGCGGGGAAGAATACGAAAAAATATCAAGCTGTGAAACTGCAAAGGAAATGTGGGGTAAGTTAGAAGTCACATATGAAGGAACCAACAAAGTAAAAGAAATAAGGGTAAATCTCTTGGTTCGAGACTATGAACTGTTTTAAATGAAGGATGGAGAATCAATGGAAGAAATATTTTCTAGATTTAGCAAGATTATTAGAGACTTAAAATCATTTGGTAGACCAATCAAAAGTAGGGAACAAGTCAGAAAAATTCTAAGAAGTCTTCCCACAATCTGGCAACCCAAAGTCATTGCACTGGAATGTCAGGATCTTAACAAAATATCCTATGATGAACTTAGAGTTGATCTAATTGTGTTTGAGAAAACACACTTAGACATGCAAGTTCAACAAGAAAAGAAGAAGACAATTGCATTCAAACCAATTATGGCTGAATTTGAAAATGAAGAAGAAGGAAGAGGAGGAGAACAAGATGAAAACATAGCTATGCTCTCCAAAGTTGTAACAAGCATGATGAGGAAAAACAGAAATAGTAAAAAGGATAAATCAAACTTCAAAAAGGGAAGATGAACAATGATAATGACAAAAATGATGGAAGATGCTATGAGTGTGGAAAACATGGACACATTCAAGCCAAATGCCCTGAACTGAAAAAGAAACTAAGCAGGAACTTTCAGAAGAAGAAGTTTTTTGGAGCTTGGAGTGATGAAGAAGAATCTGATCACGGAAAAATTGCCAATATGTGTTTCATGGCCATGAAAGAAGATAGCAATGAGGACTCAGGTGAACTTGATCTCATGTCAGACGAAGGAACAAGTAAGGTACGTCTTCCTACATGTCCTAACTATTATGAACTTCAAGAATTTATTGATATTGCTCTTGCAGATATTGAGAAAGTTCTAAATGAACTTAGAAAAATCAAAAGATAAAAGAAAGATTAGGCTTTGAAGTTGGAAGTGTGTGAAATTGAGAGAGATATGCTTCCAGATAAAGTTTGTTAGATTGAATCAGATTGCTCCTCATACGTCTCGGACTAGAACTAGAAATCTTTCTGTATGTACTTATTGTGGCAAAAATGATCACAACACTAACCAATGCATGATTAAAATAAGAGGAAAAAAGGCTCTGAAAATTCCAATAACCCCTCTTGTTCTTATTGCAGAAAATTCGGTCACACTTCTAACCATTGCACGTTCAAGAACAACAAGTTAAGAACCACAACAAAATGGAGTGGTAGAACGTAAAAATAGAACCTTGCAAGATAAGGAAAGAACTATGATTGTGAAATTTTTTTTTCCACACCATTTTTGGGTAGAAGCTGTAAGCACAACATGTCACATCATCAACAAATGCCTAATTCGACCAATTCTCAAGAATACTCCATATGAACTATGGAGAGGAAAAATGCAAAGTCCAGAGAATATTTGGCTTTAAATAGGCTAATTACTAGCTTAATAACGTGATTTTAGTGACACAAATAAGTTTAGGATGTCACGTTGAATTATGAAAAAAAAATTGTTAGAACATGAATACAATTATTTGGTGTATAATTCGGAAGAATAATAAAATAGCGAGATCACAGTCATATTCGAGGTTCTTAAATTAATTTGTAGCAGCAGTTTTTATGATTATAAACATTACATAAGTGTTGATTAATGAAGCATATAACAAGGGATATGAGTATAAGTGGCGGTGGGCCCAATGGGGTCTTAATTATTCTTAGAGTGGGAACTTAGTCCATCACGTGACCACTGCTGAAAATTTTGGCAGCATACCACATGTCTTATGTAAAATTATTTTTATTTATTAAATTAATATTTCAATTCCTTGAAAACTCTATAAAGAAAGAGGGGTACAACTTACATAAATATAAAATAAGGGAGAGAGAACCAAGACCTTTTTTTGGCTTCTCCTTGACGCTAAGGTAGGCATTCTGCCCTTTTAGCTACTGGAAATTCGAAGGAGGGGCTTGGGTAGAGTGGAAGTTTTACAATCGATTGAGTTCTTAAAGATCAAGTGGCAGCAACAGTAAGAGATCGAAAATCATCTTTAGTTTCTTTGTAAGGTATCCATGAGCTCCTTCTAATACTTTTATCACTTTTAAGATATATATATATATATATATATATATATATATATATATATATATATATTTAAGAGAAGGTATTTAGTGTATATAGGTTGTGATATAGACCACATATAAGAATTAATTTGAAGAATTTGGGGACCTAGGGATTCTTGTTTGGGGTGAATCTTGAAATGGGTCAATCTTGGGTTTAATATTTGGGAATTTTAGGATGTTTTGAGTATTACTACCCATATATGATATATTATGTAGATTGAACTCTGTCGAGGCGAGCTTTAGCTAACTTAGATCGACTTCAAGGTATGTCGAGCTCCTAGTTACTTGTGTATTATTAAATTTACTCTTGGCTTCGAATTATAGTTGGATGATATTCCGTGTATATTAGGGATAGGCTTTCATGACCTGCTCTTGGTTTGGACAAAGATGAATAAAGAAAACAAATGTGTCTTGTCTAGCTGTGAGGGAGCGGTACAACAACCTTCTTGGATCCTTGATGTATTACATAATAAAGTAATTTTCGGCTGATGGCCATTAAAAGAAAAAAAAGATGAAATAAAAAAATATATGCCTTGTCTAGCTGTGCGGGAGTGGTACGACAACCTTCTTGGATCCTTGACTGTACACATTAGCCTAACTGTTCGGGGATGGTACGACAGTCTTCGTTGATGGTATCCCGATGTATTCCAGCACTATGTGTACCATTGACATTGAAATACTAGATAATGAGGATGATACTAATGAGATATTGGACATATGAAAGAGGTCTAAATGAATAAAACTTAAATTCTTATTCTTCCAAATTTATCCT